CAACAGCAAGAACAAACCAATGACGCGCAGGGTGATGCAGAGGAGAGGGAGGAGCCTCAGAGGCAGAGGAGGACAGTCTGCCCACCAATCAGGTACCTACTGGAGTCGGAGGAAGCACCACATGGTTCTGGAACAGCCAATCAGACCAATCAGGAGGCAGCTACCAAACCTACAAGAAGCAGAGGAAGATCAAAAGATGCTGTGGGGGGCGGGGCTTCAGAGGTGATTGACAGGCCTGAGACTAATGCTAAAGACACAGGTCACATGGTCACAGGAGGAGGAAGAGAGGAAGGAGAGGAGGAGCCTCGCAGGACAAAGAGGACGATGGTTGGCCGACCAATGAGGTACCTGCTGGAGTCAGAGGAAACAGGAAGTGTCAGAACCTCCAATCACGATGCAGAACCCACACAGCGCAGGCGAAGACCAAAAAATGTTTTTGACTTCAGTGAGGCTGGGGGCGGGGCTTCAAAGATGACTGACTGTTCTGATACTGAAGATAAAGAAACGGATCACATGGTCTCAACGGGAGGAAGACAGGAAGAGGAGGAGCCTCAGAGGCCCAGGAAGCCCCTCCTCACAGCACCCACCGAGGCTCCTTATTGGTCAAGAGACATAAACCGTGTGAGAACACGTCCCAGCTGGTTGGTCGACTACTGGACCCTGAACGGGAGAGGGAATGGAAGGAGGGGGACAAAGAGGAGCAGAGTGGAGGACGACGAAGAAAGGGAGGCGCAACAAGTCTGTGTGGAGAAGGAGGAGGAGCCTCAAAGGCCGAGGAGGACGATGGTTGGCCCACCAATCAGGTACCTGCTGGAGTCAGAGGAGGCAACACGGGGTTGTGGAACAGCCAATCAGACCAATCAGAAGGCAGCTAACAAACACACAAGGAGGAGAGGAAGATCAAAAGACTCTGTTGGAGGCGGGGCTTCAAAGATGACTGACTGTTCTGACATTGGAGATAAAGACACAGGTCACATGGTCTCAACGGGAGGAAGACAGGAAGAGGAGGAGCCTCAGAGACCAGGAAAGACAGTCAGCCCACCAATCAGATGCCTTCTAGAGTCAGAGGTAACAACAGATATTTTACAATCATCCAATCAGGATACAGAACACAAGCCCGTGTCTTCTGACCTTTACTTGAACTTTACCTGTTACTACAGCCTCTTTTTCTACCTACTCGGATCGACGCGGTTTTCAGGGTTCCCCATTAGTTCATAGTTCCTGGTACCAGGTGAAATTCGAGCAAATATGAAAATGTGCCCCTGATTGGCCCGTCAGTGGCTTCCCTCGATGAGTCGTGATGGCGTCTCATTCACAAAAATGAAAAGCGCCATTTTTGAAGTTGGGTAGCGACAGAAATGGCTAAAAGCAACGCCGTGTTCCCGAGTCCGACGCCACAGACCGAGCAGCGGGTCCATCACGCCTCGACGTCCACCTTTATTGGTGTTGCACATTAATCACGGGACGGGACGCTCTGATGCGTTGCTATAACAATGACCACGTACATTAAGTACTTACCAGATTGTAGTGGAAAACCAGTCATGGCGAGTGGTTCCAAGTAGGTAACCATGGAAACTAGGGCTGGGTATCGTCACTGATTTCTAGAATCGATTCGATTCGATTTGAATCGGG